CTCCTTGCTGCACACGGCACCCTCCTTGCTGCACACCGCCCACCTCCATGCCTCAGTGACCTAATGGGGGTGGGCCCCTAGCTTATTGCTCACGTGATTGTCCTGACCCTATCACTATCTCCAAGATGACCTCACTCGCTAACCTTCCCCCCACCACACCTATGCCAAATAAACACAGATGCCCCTGAGCGCTCGGGGACCTCACCTGTCTCCGCTTTTAAGTGGCGTTGGCCCCTGAGCCCAGCTGCTCTTATCCTATCTTTTGTGTCCTGTTTTCTTATTTCTCAGATCCAGCGCCTTAACACAGCGATAGGGGACACACACGACCCTAGTAGGGCTGGACCCTACTCTTACAAAGGGAGAAAGGCCCCTAGTTCTTGCCAGTTTTTTTGTTTTTTTGAGATGGCGTCTTGTACTGTTGCCTGGGCTGCAGTGCAATGGCTCACTGCAACCTCCATCTCCCAGGTTCAAGGGACTCTCCTGCCTCAGCCTCCCAAAGTGCTGGGGTTACAGGCGTAAGCCACCACACCCGGCCTTGCCAGTCACTTTTAAGATACATGAGATTGGCCCGGTGTGGTAGCTCATACCCGTAATCTCAGCAGTTTGGGAGGCTGAAGCAGGAAGATCAATTGAGTCCAGGAGTTCAAGGCCAGCCTGGGCAACACAGGGAAACCCCATCTCTATAAAAAATACGAAATTAGCCAGACGTGGCAGTGCGTGCTTGTGGTCCCAACTACTGGAGGTGCCGGGGCAGGACGGTCCCCTGAGGCTAAGAGTTTGAGGTTGTAGTGAGCCACGGCTGTGGCACTGTACTTCAGCCTGGGCAACAGAGAGAGGCCTTATCTCGAAAATAATTAACAAATAATTGAACTAATTAAACATTTTTTAAAAGATACAAGAGGCAAGGTTGGGCACTGTGGCCTGCACATGTAATCCCAGTGCTTTGGGAAGCCACGGTGGGAGGACTGCTTGAGCCCAGGAGTTCAAGGCTGCAGTGAACTGTCATTGCAGTCCAGCCTAGGAAACAGGGCAACACCCTGTCAAAAAAAAAAGAAGTGGCAAAATGTCCAGACTGATACATTTTTCATCGATTGAGGTACAGAGTAAAAAAATCAATAAATAAGGCCAGGCACAGTGGCTCACACCTGTAATCCCAAGACTTTGGGACGCCAAGACAGGAGGACAGCTTGAGTCTAAGAGCTCAAGACCAGCCCGGGCAACATAGTGAGACCCCACATCCATAAACATTTAAATAAATACATTTAAAAAAAACTTTAACCTTACCTGGAGCTGAGATGAATTCAAAAACAACAACAAGGCCGGGCGTGGTGGCTCACGCCTGTAATCCCAGCACTTTGGGAGGCCGAGGCGGGTGGATCACGAGGTCAAGAGATCAAGACCATCCTGGTCAACACGGTGAAACCCCGTCTCTACTAAAAATACAAAAAATTAGCTGGGCATGGTGGTGCGTGCCTGTAATCCCAGCTACTCAGGAGGCTGAGGCAGGAGAATTGCCTGAACCCAGGAGGCGGAGGTTGCGGTGAGCCGAGATCGCGCCATTGCACTCCAGCCTGGGTAACAAGAGTGAAACTCCGTCTCAAAAAAAAAAACAAAACAACAACAACAACAACAACAACAATTTGTACAGCGATGAAGACAATACCATTTATATGTAAAACACAAAACAGCCATATTTGTCAGGTACATCCCCAAGTAGCCAAACATTCTGAGAAAGTTCTGGAAAGACACACATTAAGCCATGGCAACTGGAGAAGGGCTAAGGAAATTTTCCACGTTGGAACTTCTGGGGCCGGGCACGGTGGCTCGCGCCTGTGATCCCAGCACGTTGGGAGGCTGAGGCGGGCAGATCACCTGAGATCAGGAGTTCAAGACCAGCCTGGCCAACATGGTGAAACCCCATCTCTACTAAAAATACAAAACTTAGGCATGATGGCAGGCCCCTGTAGTCCCAGCTACTCCGGAGGCTGAGGCAGGAGAATCTCCTGAACCCGGGAAGCTGAGGTTGCAGTGAGCTGAGATCCCACCACTGCACTCCAGCCTGGGTGGCAAAGTAAGACTCCGTCTCAAAAAATAATAATAATAACAAAAATTCGCCAGGCATGGTGGTATATGCCTGTAATCCCAGCTACTCAGGAGGCTGAGGCAGCAGAATCACTTAAGCCGGGAGGTGGAGATTGCAGTGGACTGAGATCACACCACTGTACTCCAGCCTGGGTGACAGATTGAGACTCCATCTCAAAAAAAAAAAAAAAAACCACGTCTAGGTCACCTGAGTTTTTTTACATTCCTTTGGTGTTTGCAAAATAAATTAAAAACAATGAAACAAAAAGTCTGAGATTCTCCCATCTTCATCCCAGCCCGGATCCCCCAGCATCTAGCGTCCCACAGGACCTCCATTCAGCCCCATGCCAGGGCCTCAATCTCCAGGGAGTCCCCCGCAGGGAGCTCACTACCCCTGAGTATGTTGTTTCACTGTTTGACAATCAAGTTCTTTCCCAGGCGAATGAGAATCCCATTTAGCTAAGCTGTTTCCAGATCCCCGAGGCTCCTGGGTCTCCACGCAGCCTGGGTGTGACTTCCCTGGATCCCCTCATTTGCCCACGCAGAAGTCCCGGAAGATGATGTCCAGGATTTCCTCGGTCCCCCCTCCACCTGTGAGCCGGGTCAGGTGCCCCCGGGCCACCCGCAGCGCCTCCGCCGCCAGGGCCAGGTCTTTTGACTGCTTGTAGTGGCCGAGGGCATCCAGGCAGCCCTGGAGGTGGTGCTGGTGCCTTGCACGGGTCAGGAGCGGGGGACCTGTGGATGGGTCCCCACACCTGGAAGAGACAAGAGACATGGTCTCTCCCGATCTTTTGCAACCATCCCTTGAAGGGAAATGGTTGTACCCTTTTTTTTTTTTTTTTTTTTTTTTTTTTGAGACGGAGTTTCGCTCTTGTTACCCAGGCTGAAGTGCAGTGGCGCGATCTCGGCTCACCGCAACCTCTGTCTCCTGGGTTCAGGCAATACTCCTGCCTCAGCCTCCCGAGTAGCTGGGACTACAGGCGTGTGCCACCATGCCCAGCTAATTTTTGTATTTTTAGTAGAGACGGGGTTTCACCATGTTGACCAGGATGGTCTCGATCTCTTGACCTTGTGATCCACCCGCCTCGGCCTCCCAAAGTGCTGGGATTATAGGCGTGAGCCACCACGCCCGGCCGGTTGTACCCATTTTGTAAGTACAGAAATTGAAGTTGGGCAGGCATGGGCCAGCCCACACTTGAACTTGGGCCAGGGGAGGCTAGGGGTGGGGGGGGCTCACACTGCAGCTAGCTCCTCCCTCAGCGCCTCCAGGAGGCCGTCCAGCCCCTCTCCCGTCACACAGGACAGCAGCAGGTGCGGGGGCATGTCAGGACCGGGACCTGGGCCCTCCGTAGACAGCAGGTCCGACTTGTTCAGCACTAGGAGGAGGCGCTGGCTGCTGTCACTGTGGCTCTGGGCTCCCACAGAGGCTACGACAGTGGCCAGGAAGTTGCAGCTGGAGGGAGAGGCCAGGTCAGAGGCATCCAGCATGGCCAGAATGAGGTCAGCCTGCTCCAGCCTGGGGGAGCAAGGAGGTCAACTGAGCGGGGGGTCCCAAGTTGAGCAACTGAAGAAGGCACTGGGCGGAGGGACAGTGAGAGGGGCCAGGTAGAGCACTGGGGAAGGTGCAGAGCGTGAGGTAGGGAAGGTAGGAGTAGAGTACCAGGGGTCCAGCAGACTGTCAGGGGCCCAAGCCGAGCACAGACGGAGTAAGAGGGGAGGGGCACAGTGCAGGGGGTGGAGCAAAGAAAGAGGGGCGGGGCACAG